GTCGTCGTTGTCGTCGTCGTCGTTGTCATTGTCGTCGTGACCATCGAGGTGCTTGTTGTCGTGGTTACGCCTCGTGTATATCCGTCCGCTGTGCGAGACTACCGGTAGTCCGCGTACCTGCCGAACGAACCTTCATAGACACGTTACGTCGGTGCCTGTCGGGATCCTGGTCAAGGCTTTCGGCCCAAGGGAGTCCCACGTCGAAAAGGAGAGAATCATCGGTGACGCAAGCGGTGTCCGCGGCGAAACCAGGGGGAAGTACCGTAGCTTCGGGCGCGCTCGTCAGCCAACTCGCTTTCGACTGCGACTGTGTGTACACTGTACCGTGTATAGGTAGCGGGAGCGCGTGAACGAGGGTTGCAAGGGGGTGCGCGCGGGATTTCCGGGGTCGCGGAGAGGGCTAGAGGGAGCTATCGACCACACACGTAAGGCGGCGGCGGTAGCGCTCGCACACACCGGCGCACACGGATACACAACATCGCGGACCTGTTGTCCAACTTGTTGCTCGTCCCTGCGAAGGCACACCCGCCCATCTCCGGAGTCGAAGGAGAGCTTGTTTTCGAAAAAGGAACTAGTGCCGGTTACGAGGAATCCAACAATCGCATATTGGAACTTGGAACGCCGCGCTCCAACGATCGAGCTCCGACTACTCCCAGAAACGCGGACGAAGAAGGTGAGGATGGAAATACGGTCAGACTGAAACTCGTGAAACTCGTGAAACTCGAACCTCCGAAGAGAGAACGTTTCGAGGTCCAAATTGGGTTTCGAGCGAGAAAGGAAAGAGGAAATGTTATAACGACGATCGGTACTGTATCCCCAGATTGTATTGCGATAAGAATTTCTACCGCCCAATATATAATTTTGAACGAGCTTAATACAGTGTACTACGTTTGATCGGGATATATTGGATCGTGAACACATTTGGATTCATCTTACGAGACTTACGCTCTTTATGAATTAAGAAGAGAACATTGAAGAAGACCAGAAAGCTCCACTCTCATCTTCAGAGTACCTAATCCGTTTCCTACAATCCAAAGGAAACTAATGACGCGCGCTGGCTAATTCAGAGGACCAACTCCTTATAGAAATTCAACTATTCGTATCGAAGCTCTCGAAATCGTTTACTGTAAACACCAGAGCGTCGGCGTCGGTTCGAGCTTCGTCGGTTGGCATTCGCATTTGACGAAAACGGACAGGTTGTTAACAAAGTAGCGGACAATCCGCATCTTCTCGATTTCGATAATCAAACGAGGTTTTCTCTCATCCTGAGGAAAATTCGCGTACATTGTTCACAGTCAATTTGCAGAGAAGTTGAACGTCCGTTAGTTACAAGTCCCAGATTGTGTTGCGATGAGGATATTATTATCGAGACGTCCCGGGGCAACGACGTCATCGGGAATCGGCGTGACAAGATACCATCTGGAACAGCCAGGTGAATGAAGAGTTCGCGAGTGAATCTCGCGGAACCAGAGCGACGGAAGCCCCGACGTGGATTCGCGCATTCCCGGCGACGCATGTATTGCCGGAGGCAGTGCAGGATAACGAACCTACGGCGGTGAAGCGGAGGAAGAGAAAGAGGGAGAGAGAGAGAGAGAAAGAAGAGAGCGAGAGCGAAAGAGAGAAGAGGAGAGAAGAGAGTTCAGCTAGATGGGTAAAACGCGCACGTAGACGTATGCGTACGTTTTACGAACGACGAGATACTAGGCGGGCATGAGACCGACGCCGTAAAGCATGTAAATCTTCCACCCGTGAATATACAACGAAAGCAATACTACAAACAAGGTAATCTCGAGGAACAAAGCAAAGGCAAGCCGCACACGCTTTCCGCCACCCTCCCATAATCTCGCACTTAATCACCGCCCTCTGATCGCGCTTTGGAATCACAAACAACTGATACCGCGTATTATTCTCCCGCTCGGACTCGATCACCACGATCGAGAGCTCCTCCCAGCTCCTCGCTTCACTTAAGAGATATTTTAATATGAATGTATACACGCGCATATAGACACCGCGATCGTACGCGCTCACTCTCATCCCTGTATATAGTTATACAAAAAAAAAATATATATATATACATTTATACGCAGAGTCCTATTGAATAATCGTGCAACGACGTCTAGAATTAAATCAAGCGATATCGTCAAGATAGCCATCTCAAGCTGAGCGTTTCATCTTCCCTAAGAAGAGAATCGTTTTCGCTCATCTTTGCTACTGAAAGGAATTTTGAGTAGAAGGAACTTTAATTGGGACAGTCTGCCGCCGATAGATCGATACGAAACGACCATGTCGTGTCTCAGGATATCTTAGAAAAAGAGCGTAAAGAGTGGGACGAACAGCTGAAGCATCGATTGAGAGATCGTGTACCTGGTAAAATCTCCGCGCGTTAATGAATTAAGAAAGATAAACTTGACATTATCGTGAAAACGGGAACGAGCGGCAGAACGGTTAACGGTATATTGAATAGTGTATCGTTTGCCGCGATTTTTGCAAAGGGGATTTGCGCGATATACGCGATCAATATACGCGGTACTTCTTGATCGTGCCGCGGGTACGCACTCGCAATAAAGTACGCCTTCACACCGAAGGACCGAGGAAGGCTCAAGAGGGTTGTTTACCCTACACGGTTGTTTGGTGATCTTAGAGCGATATTTCGATATTAATCCTGGTGGGAAGAGAGCAACGATCAGCCAAGATGCCGCGGTGCTATATGGTAAAGAAGGCCTTGTGCAACAAGTACATAACCAGCGTTGCCAGAGGATTCGAGAGCTGGGGCCGCGGAAGGAGCACGCCATCGCCAACCACCATACCCATCTCGCCCGTACAGAAGTCCATTGCACCCCCTGTTGCACAAGGTATGCCAACTTTGCATATTTTACCAGAAATCTGTGATCGTTATAATCATTATTTTCACAAGTTAATCGGGTGATCGATCAATACCACATACACACACACACACACAGAGCGCCAAAGTAGTTTTAACCCTTCGGCGACTCTAAATCGTTTTCACGTACTTACACCACACTGGATATTGAAAAATGAATATATCGTAATAAATTTTTTTTTTATCGAAACGCCAAATATTAAGAAGTACAAACGAGCAACAAGTAAATGTATTTTTATAAATAAAAAAGTTATATGTGTATATACAAACTATGTAAATAAAATCGTATATAAAATAGACAACAAAATATGTGATACCTTTTGAAGTAATTAAATAACAACGCAATAGATACTTTTTTTTTATTCTTTCATAATTGTGTCAGCGCTTTAGCGTCACTTTAGCGATGCTCATTTCGACGCAAGTCCGATACGCGTTTATATCAAATTATCAAATGATAATAGCACACGCTGCTGCGCACCGCGTAATTACCAACAATACGTTATCTGGTCGTAACAAAACGACCTTAATTGTCGGAATTCTCCGTGGCGTTACTACTTGTACGACGTATCCGCTTCTCGTGTGAACGGCGAAAACGGTATGCGAAACTTGTCGAGATAGTAAATGCAGTTACAAAGGCAGTGCGGTGGCATTCGGAATCATCGTAATGGCGATGCACGTTTATAGTATTTTGTCAGCACGAAGAAGCGAGAATTTCAAACGTTCGTGCAATGAATAATTTACAATTGACTGAAATCGTTTGCGTCTAAAAAATAACAAGTCCTTTATCGAAATTTATTGGACTGTTTGATGTGTATTTATATAGTAATTATTAAAATTAATTAAAATAGTTGTTTTTCGTATTATTAAAAATAATATATAAATATATTTTTGGAATAAGATATCCAAATTGAATATTCTAAAATAAATTTTTGGGATGCACATAATTATGAAATTAAAAATTATATAATTAAAAATCCAATAATCAGAAGAAAAATGAGAAAGTGAGAGTCAAGCACAGTTTGGGACGCAAAATTAAGTCTAATTGTACTTAAAAATTCACAAAATTTCAAACATTTTGGCTCATTTTTCAAATCATTTTCAACGACAATATCGTATTTTACAATATTGTATTTTATTGTCCTATTGTTTCCCATTTGAAATTTTATATATTTTTAATGGACTTAATTTGACGCCTCATTAACTGCACTTGACTTTTATTTGTCCATTTTTCTTCTGATTTTTTAATATCACTTTTTTAATATTATATCTGATTTTTTAATATCAATGAATCCTTTACATTAATATATTATTTAAAAAATATTATTTTCTGTGTGTCTTCTTTATTTCTACTCGTTTTTAATTATTTGTAGAAAGAAAAATGAAAAATAAGAGCAAAGTCTTAATTTAATAATTTTCTATTTTATATATACAAAATGTAGACGCTGTATACAAGTTTTAATAATTTATATCTTAACAAATATCTCGTATGTAAACGTAATAAGAACGTATTTTCGCAGTCGTGCAACTTGCAATAAAAATTTTACATATATCTGAAGTTGATATAACTTTTTTATACTATACAAATGAAAATAACACAGCATGAAAAACAGGACATCTACATTCGCATAATATTCATACCTGTCGATCTTTTCGCGAGCAGCAAAACTCTTCGTGATCACAGTTCAAACAAAAATTCATTCTGCTCACGAAATACACAAAAACAACAATGTAGAAATATTAAAGCAGATCCGTCTGATGACGTAAGAGAAGTCGGTCGTTTATAAACGAAATGTACGCATTCACAACTGAGTTATCGTGAAATTTTATATCCGCTTAACCTAGGAGACCTTCTTGGTTCTTTACTCCCATCCCCTTTGACCTCGTTCCTAACATATTTGCCGTCATAATCCCACTACCCCTATCTTCGCAATCCGTACTGTGCAATCCACCTCTTTCTCCCACCCTCCTATCATTCATTTATCGCTGCACTTCTCTTACCACCATTAAAGTTCGACACTTTTTGCTATCACGTCGGAAACGAGAAACGAATACTCTTTTTTTGGTACGCTGTTTAAAAGCCTACGACGCCGTTAAATCTCGATTTAAAAATGTCAAATGAAAGCAAAGAAATAAGTTTATACGTCGCTTCTGTAACATATAAGGCAGTAAAGATATTTTGCAATAATATGAGTTATATGTAGCAAATTTATAAATATACAATTTATATATACATTTTTTCCCATTCTGTCATGAGGCGTGATCTGATTGGATTTATCATGTACACGAATAAAGCTTAATATTTATAATCTTAGAATGTTCCAACACGCAATCAAAAGACACAACGGCCGTTATGACTTCCGCCGTGGCCGATGCAGACCCCTCGAAAGAACAACCGAGCAACGCAGACACAACTGTCGCAACAGCGGTACCATCATCCGTCATCATGATGAATCCCGCGATGGACCACTCGATGACGATGCGAATGGAAACCGTCGTGATCGCGTGTACCACAACGGCGTCTTTGACGACTCTATCTCCAACAGAAACAATCGTCTCAACCGTCAAGGAAACTACAACGACGACGGTGACGTCTTTACCTCCGTCGAGCGTGCGAACGACTCCCGAGAGACGCGACGAAGCTACGACGTCTATCGCGACGCTACACCATCCACCATCTACCGAAAAACCGTCTCCGCCGTCCAACACGTCAACGTCCTATCATCTGCAAGATACTCCGGAGCACTCGAGAACACACGATAGGATACAATCGGTTATCACGTCCTGTGACATGTCCATGTCCGGTCAAGTGTCATCCATGTTTAAAGATCGCTCCGCGGCGGAAACGGAGGCGGCGCACGATCTCCTGGAACTCTCCCGATCTCTACCTCCCTTGCCACCACCGAGTGTGGCGATCGGTCCTCAAAGCGTGATCGAGGCGCCGGCGAGCGACGTCCAAGAGATGACGGTCTACCAACCGGCTGAGCAACCAATCTATCAAGTGAACACGATCGAGCTGACCAGCTCAAACATCTACAGCCATCATCAGCAACAGCCACAGCCCACAGCCACCGGTATCATTTATGAGTCCGCCATCGTGCCACCCTCAGGCAGTGTTTTCATACCTTTAGCACCAGTACAAGAGATCCTGCTGACATATAGCACATCCACCATACCGTGCACACCAATTATCGCTCAACAGCCGCAG